GAGAAATAAGAACCAGAATAAAGAAAATAGTTTTGTGTCTGCATGCAATATGTGTGTTCATTCTCATGCACGCTGGAGTGATTTGGGGAAGTCACATATACTTTTGTCTGTATTCTTCACTTAGTATTTCTGATTATTTGCCTCCATTTTCCCCATCCCTGTATTTTCTGACTGTCAGGTGGCAGAGTGGCTTATTCTCCATTTTTGATGCCTCGTGGAGAATGGGTGAAGTTCCAGAGGACTGGAGGGTGGCGTCAGTGGTCCCATTTTTTAAAAAGGGTAGTAAAAGGGACATGGGCAATTACAGACCAGTTAGTCTTACATCCATTGTAGGAAATTCAATGGAAAAGCTTATAATAGTGAGAGATCTAGTGATGCTAGATATGGAAGGGATGCTGGCGGCCACACAATACATTTTCCGCAAAAACAGGTCCTGCCAGACAAACCTTGTGGCATTCTGTGACAAGGTTTCAAGGAGGCTGGATGGAGGGGATGCAGTGGATGTGGTTTACCTGGATTTCAGCAAGGTCTTTGACAAAGTGCCCCATGATATCCTGGGTGAGAAACTGAGGAGTTTTGGGATCAACCAGTGCACTGTAAGATGGATTAGGGCATGGTTGACTGACCGAAAGCAGAGGGTAACCATTAGTGGGGAATCATCGGGATGGCGGCCAGTGACAAGCAGGGTCCCCCAGGGCTCTGTCCTGGGGCCGATCCTGTTTAATCTTTTCATCAGTGACATGGAAGAAGGGGTGAACAGTCTGCTGATCAAATTCGCAGATGATACTAAAACTGGGGCAATGATCGCAACTGAGGAGCAGGTACTCTAGATCCAAAAGGATCTGGCCAGACAATGGAAGTGGGCAGGAGACAACAGGATGGCGTTCAATGTGGATAAGTGCAAGGTCTTGAACTTGAGGCATAGGAATAGGTGTCATAAGTACAGGTTAGGGGACAAGTGGCTGGAGAGCAGCACTTATGAAAGGGACCTCGGAGTGCTGGTTGACTGCAGGCTAAACTTGAGTCAACAGTGTGATGCTGTGGTTAAGAGAGCGAACGCCACCCTTGGTTGCATAGCCAGAACTGTGGCTTCTAGATCGAGAGAGGTATTACTGCCATTTTGTACGACTCTGGTGCGCCTGCAACTGGAGTATTGTGCTCAGTTTTGGGGCCCTCATTACAGAAAGGATATAGCCAGGTTAGAGTCAGTGCAGCACAGGGCCACAAGGTTGGTGACCGGTTTGCAGGGGATGGGGTATGAGGAAAGACTGAGGGAACTGGGTCTCTTCAGCCTGGAGAAGAGGAGACTCAGAGGGGATCTGTTGGCAACATACAGATATATGAGGGGATGTCACACTGAGGTGGGTAGAGACCTGTTCTCCCCTGCAGAGGAAGGCAGGACATGCTCCAATGGAGCAAAACTCAGGGAACCCAGGTTCAGTGTAGATGCCAGGAAGTATCTAAAGCACTTCCTGACAGTTAGGACCTCGAGGGCATAGAATGGGCTTCCATTGGAGGTGGTTGAGGCCCCATCGGTGAGGGTGTTCAAAGATAGGCTAGACATGCACATGGTGGGCATGTTGTAAGTGGAGCCGGCTGGAGCCGGAGGTCAGACTAGATGGCCCGGGAGACCCCTTCCGACTCGCTTTGTTTCTATGTTTCTGATTCTGCTTTGCCGGAGACTAGAATTTTAACAGATTTCCAAGACCGTTATAGTGTTGCAAAAGAACTGGAATGACAAGGAAAGTACAATTAACCAAGCAGAAGACAAACGAACATAGAAAACTACCCTTTAGGAAGGCAGACCACTAGTCCTTCAGGCTTAGTATCATTGACACTGACTGGTGGCAGCTCCCCTTCCAGTCCTCAACAGAGATGCCACGGATTAAACCTGGGACCTTCTGCTTGCAAAGCACTTGCTCTACTGTTGCACCTCAACAGTAGCACTAATTCAGAGGTGCACATCCCCATACGTGTATAAAACTACGTGTGCTATCTGCATACTGGAGCTCACAGGCACCCCTTGATGCTGATGGATCATAAGTTCAAACCTGAGAAAAATAGAGCCTTCTGCATACACAGTGTTATTTAGTCGTGAAACTCACTGCCAGATCATATGGTAATAGGCATCCAGTCCATTTAGCAAAGGATTTTTTTGCTTTATTTTTGAAAGGTTTAGGTAAATCAATAACAAATGGACTCACTGTGCTCAAAAGGAGTGTACCCTGGATCCCCAAATTTCATTGGGCAATTATTATTTATTGTTAGTAATAATACCTTAAGAGGAAAGAAACCTTAAAGTTTAATTTATTAAACTTAAAATTGATCCTTACCCTCCAACAGCTGAAAGAGAAATAAGAACATGCAGTGACCAATAAATCCTTTTCCTAGTGGATACAGAATGAATTGGATGGATCTTGCAACAGAAGGGGTTTCATGCTGCAACATTTTTTGTATGTGTCACTTTTGCTCAGCTAAACATTTCCCTGCTTGCATTCTATGCTGATAAGGTTAAAATATCAGAAAAACAATGGAAAGTATTGTTTGGGGCTTGCTTATGTTAGGATCTTGTCCAGGTGAGAACTGTTGACAATACAACACTCAAAATGGGGAATTTCAACAGTTTTCTTTTTAAAAAGCTGATAACACGACACATTTCTATTAGAGCGAGCCCGTCTTTGATTTCCACTGCAGCAGTTCATTCCTTAGGGGAGAATGGAAATCATAAGTCAAACATCTTAGGGCTCAATCCTATGCATATTTAGATGATAAAAAGACATGCTGGTAGCTATATACCTTTTTCTGTCACAACATGCATAGGATTGTGCCTTTAATCCACCAAATGAACTTTGCATTACATTTTCCCAGCCCTAATTGTGATCTCTTCATGTTCATTCATGCAGTGAAATTCTCTTCATAAACTTAAATGAATCAGACCACTTAATGCTCTGTGTGTTTTCTTTTTTTCTTTTTTTAATGTGGCTTTTTGGAAGGCCTTTTACGTCATCTTGTCCTCAGCTGGCCCAGCTGTATGTTTAAGTTCAGCCAACAATATGACTAATAGCATCAAATTACAGTCCATAAAACAGATGTGCTCCTTCAATTGGTGGATTGTAAGCAAAGATATTCCAGAGGAAGCACTGCCTGCATGCTTGCTTTTATGTCCGATGTTAGATGAAGGCCTTGCAGTTGTGAATGTATGAGATTAATGCATGAGATACAGTGTTCTATGGAACTAGTTTCTCAAAGATCTTTGCTTTTGCTTTTCTTTAAAAAAAACTAATTTCTAACTTTTTTACCATTGAGACTAGGATTCAAATAAAACACAGCTTATTACTCTTCCTCAAGAGTATGAAAAACTGAATATATAATTGAAAATAGGCATATAGATGCCAATTTGCATAATATATACTGGTTGTAGAAATTTTGCTTTTCTTAGTACAGAACCTGGAGGAGTTGTATAGAAGTTTGTACACAGAGCTGTCTAAAAATGCTCATTTGGAGAGTAACAGAATATCTTGAGTATACTTTACCTTGGTTTTTGTTTGGCATGGTAATGTGTTATGCTTTAACATTTTTCAGTTTTGTTTTTTGCTTTCTTGTTAGAAAACATCTGCAGCGCTTTTTAAAGGGTTTAATGCTCATCTTCAACATATCATATCCTTCTAAACCAGCCTTCTCCAACCTGGTATTCTTCAGATATATTGGACTACAATTCCCAACATGCTCATATGGTTTTCTGAGCAACAGATAGGATGATACTAGAGTCCTCTTGCCTTGTATTGCATTATTCCCTGAGTCAGGCCTAACATCCGAGTTTCCGTGTAGGCTGTTTTGTGTCTTTCTTATCTAATTTGTGTTATATCTCTGCCTTGAAGGAATGAGGAAAAGGTCCACATATAGACCCACATATTATATCCTGGGTCTGAATAATTCTGGTTTGGTATGCACATTTGTGGGTATTGGAGGTGGGCACTGCCTCATGGCTGCAAGGACATTTTATGAGAATTGGCAATTATCAAAGTACTTGCAACAGTTCTGGAATTGTCATTTGAGCTGCAACAGAGCAAGAGTTTTACAGACATGCTGTCTCAGGAATGGGAGAAAATGCAGCTGTTGCCCTAAACCAGCCTTCCCTAATCAGGTTTCCTTCAGAGGCATTTGGTCCGCAACTCCCAGGATCATTGACTGGTAATTCTGGGTGTTACAGTACAGACATGGCTGGAAGGCACATGGTTGGGGAAGGCTGCCCTAAACCAAGCATATACTGAAACCAGTCATACCAAACTATTGGGTCCCCAAAGCAGTTGAATCCATTCTTTCCCATGAGCCCTTATTATGTCTGTCTCATCTCTTTATGGCTGGCTAGATGACTGATATTTATTCTGCTGTATGCTTAACACTAACTTTCAGTTGTATTTGGGAAAATGCAGTAGAAAAATAGAGTAATTTAATACCATGTCTGTACTAATATACTTTGTTTTAGCATACAGAAATACGATTTGAGGTGCAGTCAGTCACACTGTGCATGCAGTTTTAGTGTGCCAAAACTATCCTTACCAGAGGAGGAGAGATAGTATAGCAGGGTGGTAATTCTTATAGCTCCTGATGTTGCTAAAAATTCTGTATCATATTAAAAAGCTCCATTTAAAAAGTACTGGCTGTACATAGCAGCGACCCGAAACATTTCAAGTACCTTGAACTTTGAAATCTTACACCATTCAACTAATGGCTTTGCTTCTAATTAAGCAACTGATTGCTAAATGCTTAAAGATGCATTTTACATATAAAGCTACATTCAACTGAATCAGACCACTTTCTTCTTTTAGTTCAGTATAGTCTACCATCCCACTTCCACAATCTTGCTGTAGCCCTGGGATGGGAGGGAACTTCAGTTGGTGTGCCCAGTTTGGTCTTTAGTGAGCCAAAGCAGAGTTTATATATTGGGAAATGGTACAGTGAACCGAAGCAACTGATACAGGCTTCCCCTTTACCTATAGGAATGCTCCCCCTATGCTGCTCACCTATTTGATGCTGAAGACCCTTCTACTCCAGAAAGAACAATACCAGGACTCTGCCAAGATTACTGTGTACAAGTGTGGCAAAGCTGCAGGTCCATGTTCCGTTATCTCACTGCTGATGAAGAGTTATTGGCACTGGAAAACAACATGGCAAAGTTCTGCCGTTATTTGACCTTGGAAGATACGGACTACTGTTTTCCTCACCTCCTAGTCAATGAGCATCTTACTCAAAACCTTGGGGTAGTGATGGCTGATTCAGAAGGATGCATGCAGCTGTGTTTAGAGGAGGTTGCCAATGGGCTTAGGAATCCAGTTGCCATGGTACATGCGAATGATGGGACTCATAGATTTTTCATTGCTGAACAAGTTGGCTTAGTCTGGACCTACCTTCCAGATAAGTCACGCCTTGAAAAACCATTTCTGAACATCAGTGAAGCTGTACTTACCTCACCTTGGGAAGGAGATGAGAGAGGTTTTCTAGGTATTGTCTTCCATCCTAAATTCAAATTTAATGGTAAACTATATGTCTACTATTCAATTGAAGTTCAGTATGAAGAGAGAATCCGAATCAGTGAGTTCAGAATTTCTGCTGATGACATGAATTCTGTGGATCATGGTTCTGAAAGGTATTGTATGCTCCTTTATATGTCACATTGATTTAAGAGATTGGAAGGCAAATGCTCACACACTTTCAGGGATTTCTAATAGCAATCAGTTCTCATACTCTGGAAATTAAAATTAAATATAGCTTGTCTTCTTTAGGCAATCAGAGAGATAGAACCTCAGGCCTGGGGGACCATAATCCCAGCCCTCCGGGGTTCTCTGGAGGGGTCCTTTATTCTGACAAGACCACCAGTCATTTTGTGGTTTCCTAGCTGGTATGCATTTTCTCACCCACTCTAAGAACTGGAATGCTTCTTTCAAGGCTTTGCTACCTAGCAGTAAAGACTTGTTAAAATATTCTGGTATTTGGTATTTTGACCCTCCTCTTTGCTCTTGCCCCAATCATTCACTGGTCTACAACCCCTGGGAGCTTCTCTGAGTGGAACTTGGCCTCCAGGCTGAAAGAATTCTGCATTCCTGGTACACATGCTACTTAGCTACTTCTGGCATTCTTCTTCCAATCAAAGGAATCTTGTGAACACACACACACACACACACACACACACACATGCATGGAAGCAACAATACCTTGCTGAAGAGGCCTATATATAGTTGCACTTAAGAGAGAATATTGGGAAGCCTTGAGCTAGAGAACCAAGAAAATGGCTTGCTGGAAAGGATTCTGCAACTTTTGCTCCATGTCGCTCTCCAAAGGTCCATCCCTCATACCCATCATGGTACTGGGGATTTTGTTTCCTTTTTTGCTGTAGCATGTGGTTTGGCTGATTTGGTGTCAGACATCTGGGTATGTTTACTAAACTGTTCTGCCTCTATACACACCTTTAGCTTGGTGTCTTTTGCACACTCCAACACTACTGCTTTTGACATGTAGTAATTTAGGTAATATGAGTTGATCTGCAGAAGAGAGAATTAATATGGCAAGGCTTCATGGTGTTGGTCTGAATGGATAAACCTTATGACGGTATGGACAGAAAGAAATCATGCACCTCGTGCCTCCTGCAGATGTTCTCAAGAAGCTGGATATTGTTGCACAGTTGTCGATAGGAAGAAATTAATAGAGTTCAGTAATCCATGAGGTAAAACTCATTTTGTTTCAGCCTTAGTTGAATGATGTGCTTGTCCCTTAGAACATTGGTTGTATATGGCCCTGTGATTCTCAGTTCTCATTGTGTTTTGTCTACTGAAGTTTTCTTTGTGTCCCTTTTAATTTGGTGCAGTAGAGTTGTTGCCTAAGTAGCAGGGGCTACGTGATGCATGAGAACTGAACAAGCACACACCTGCTCCCTCCTGTGATTTCACTGCCAAGACTCTTGTCCATGGTGGCCCTTGAATCTAGTGACTAACAAGCGGTGTCAGGCAGGGATTCTGCCTGTGCTGCCCGAAAATGTCTTGAGTGAAGGATAAAACTATGGAAGAGCATCAATGTGAGCATCTTTGCACCATTAGGGCCAGAGCAGAAACTTCTGACTCCTCTAATCTAGATCCAGTTTCTTTACTGGTCTCAACAATTAGCAGATATCCTCTTGTAAGCCAAAGATGACTGGAGCAGGTCTAAAGCAGACATAGAGCTTGAGCCCCAAGATGACCAAGCATAAGTAAGTTCACAGAAGGAAAATGTCTCATTCTTCCTGTTGCAGCTAGTCCCAAAGAAGTCTCTCTGGAAGGTTGAATTCCCCCTTGAACAATGTAGGATAGAGGTATGTGGACGGGGCTGTCGGGTAGTCAATGAAAATCAGACAAATTCTGAAGTAGCAGAACGAATAGCATCTTATGTTCTAGTGAACATAAGTGTCCATCCAGCATTCTGTTCACACAATAGCCAACCAATGGAAAGCCTACAGGAAGAACATGAATTCAGTAGTATCCTTTTGGGCTTTTTTCATGGATGACTGGTAGTTGTAGTGCCTCAATATTGGATGTAGTGTCTAGCCAGTAGGAGTAGTTTTTGCAGACTAATAGTAGCCTTATCCTCCATGAATTTGTTTAAACACCCTTCAATTGGTGACCATAACTATGTTTTGTGGTAACAAACTATAAGGATGGATCAGTGGGACTTGTGCTGTATGGAAGAAAGGGAGGAACACAGACAGACAGACAGAGACATTTGGTAACAAAACCTGGCAGACAGCAGGAGGAGGTGGACAGTGAGTCCATTATGAAACCTGGAGTTGGAGTTGGGATGTGATGTCACTGGGCAAGTAACCACTGACCAGATTTCTCTTAATTGGACAGGAAATAGTGATCAAATAGCAGAGCAGACTCTATGAAAGAGACCTGGCTGATGCTTGACAGGAATTGAGAGGGATAGTTGAGTCCCTGTGGCATTGACTACTCCTTCCCTACCTGTGTATCTTTTTAGGAAACAAGTAGGTCAAATGACTTTCACTTCATTTTCTGTTAATTTACCTGGCATCTTGCCTGGGTCATGGCCTTTCTTTGCCAGCTGGGCCGCATTTGTCTGGTTGTACTTTAGGCATCTCCAGACATGTAGCTTTAGTAGCTAAGTTTTTAAGTGGGCTGGACTTTTGGCCAGCAAATACTTCGGGAAATTGCATGTGTGGAGGAAAGTGGGACAATTTGATGTTCTGCAGTTTCCTCATTATGACCTTGCCATACTTGTAAAAATGGTCAAGGCAAAACAAAACCCAAGAATGTAACATCTGGTTTTTCAATTCTAATCAGGGAAGAAAATCCTCACTTATAACTTTTCTCCAAATAGAACAACAAAGTAATACACTTATTAGGACCAACTAAAATGTCTTAAGTAATCAATATGATGTTGTATTCTCTAGAATACATTCTGATAACAACTAGATTTGAGTTGTCTGAGGGACAATGCATTGTCTGAGGGACTGCCTTTGAGGACTGCTACTGCTTGGAAATACTGAGCCTTAGTTGTCAGCTAAAATTGTCCAGAGAGAAAGTATCTCACCACTTCTTCAACTGTATTACTGGCTGCAAAGCTGTTTCTAAGGACTTGGAAATTCAGAGTCATTTTCAAATACTAGCTACTAGCAAATCTTTAAAGCACTTTAAGTGGGCTTGTACCTTTGAAAGCCCCATGCAGCCTGGGAATCAAATATCCGAATGTCTGCCTGTATCACCATGGACTTGCCCATGCATTGAAAGCCCATCTCTGGGTGTTCCCGCATTCAGAGATTGGGTGGCATCCACAACCTCCTTGGTTGTGACCCCCTGCCTATGGAGTGCTCTCCTCTCTGATTCTCTGCTGCTGCCTGTTCTTATGTACATCCTTGTACCAGTGACAGCCTTCTCATTTAAACACTGTTTGAAAGTATTTCAACCATTTTGTTATACATGTTTTGCCCTGCTGCTATACTTGTATCAATGATATGCTGAGTTTTATTGTTTGATTGCATAAATATTGTGGTAATGGGCTCAGAAAATATAGTCGGGACCAAAATTTTAAATAAATTCTGTTCCATTAAGTGTAAAGCAGATTTAAAGTTGTACCAAAGGTCACTAGGAGGGTACTTTGCCACTGAAAATAGAAATGTTAGCAACTCTGCCACCCTGTCTCAGGTGTTAATTGGAATACAAAGTTCTCCAATGAGGCTAGTGGCAGATCTGAATAACTTCTCACTGAAAAAGGAGGATTCTGAATTTCTGGCTAGGGGGTCCAGGGAGTTGTAGGACTTTTTCTGTCTAAACATGTATAGGATTGTGCCTGTAAGTGGAAGTATCTTGTGTACAAAGTCCTATTCACTCCCTGCTTAGATAGTTGTGTGGCGTGTGCAGTTGTGTAGCTGAAGAACTGAAGCATTTTGAAGCTAAATAAAGTCTGGGAATGAGAGGGAATGCAGCAATCTTTTCCAGTTCAAGTGTTGAAACTTATATCTGCGTCCCACATTTTAGTCTGTGTGGTTTGTGGAGAATATTTCCCATATTAAATGTTCTACCTTTTTTTAGACTTTTCATGGAACATGATGTCATATTTCAGGAAAGATCCCTGGTTCAGTCTCTAGCAGAGCCTCTCCCAGCTTGGTGACTTCCAGTGTTGATTGAACACACAGCTCCCCACAGTTGGAGAAAGTCCTGAAAAACTGCTAGCGGAAGAACCGTCAGGGTTGTGAAAGCTTCCTTGCTAATCAGTGCCTTTTGAGTTGGTTCAGCTGTATTAAGAGTTATGGACCAACAGGGTTATTTCCAATTTTTATGTTTCTTCCAAAGGGGAACCATGATGTTATACTATAGCAAGAACGGGAAACCTCTAACCCTCTAGATGTTGGACCCCTAAGGTTGGACTAATATCAACCTTAGCCAGCATGGCTGATTATCAGAAATGCTAGAAATTGTGGCTCAAAACAACTGGAGGACATGAAGTCAGGGAAAGCTGTCCTGGCGTCTCCAGCAGAGGATCAGGTAGCAGGTAGTGGAAAAGATAACTCTCTGAAACACTGGAGAGACTGCCAGTCAGTGTTGACACTACTGGGTTGGATGGACCAGTGGTCTGACTTCGTACATAATAGCTTCCTAGGTTTCTACAGTGTCCATGTGGCCTCTTTTACAAAAAACCATTTGCTGTTTAAAGGGGTATCAGACGCTTCATATCTTCAAGTTCAAAACTGTTGAACTTGAAGAACTTGTTTAAAACTGTTTAGATAGTACATTAAGACTCATACAGCTCCAGTCTTCCCTGCTACATTGTCCTCTCAGGTTGCAAAGAAGGAGTTTGACATCCTTCTTGGTTGGGAAGTCATACCTACCAATTATTTCCCCCAGTGATGTTCTGCTACTCAGTTTAGGAACAAGATGGCCCTGCCCTGGGATCCTGATTGGGCAGTTTTGAAAGAGGCAGAATACTGGTAGAAAAGCAGTAGTTAGATCTCTGCCACTCTGAACACTGAGTAGAAGTCACTCTGAGTGGAAGTCATTCAAGGACGATTGCCACCTCCACCTTACCTGCAGCAAGTCCATGACATGGTTTATGAGGCATGAGGCCCATTGATAAGCCATGGTGGTTTGTAAGCAACCTGTGTATATACAAACTGGTTGGTATGTTTTGCTGGGAAACACCCAGAAATGCTTCCTGTGCTTGCTAAGATATTCCTTGGTTTGCAGTTAGCCTGACCAACTGATTCTCCAAGTCAACCTACCTGGCATCTTCCACATTTGAAAACTAGGTAGAAAAATTAAAGAAATAAATATGGCCACACCATCCAGATATTAGAATTCCAAGTAAATGTTACATTCTGGCTTGCAGTAAAAATAATATAAAATAAATCTTGTCTTTGGGTTAAAAGGAGTTGTAGCTCACAAATTCAGTTTAAAGGACAAGCAACTCCTCTCCCACTCCCACCCCCCGACACTCAGTACTCTATTCATTAGTGCCAAGCTGAAGAAGTGGTTTGTATGATATGAAGAAGTTTTTAGTTGATTCACGTTTAATCCAGAATCTCAACTAGTCATTTATGACCTACTTTTGTTGTAGTTCTTCTGTCTTGCTGATATTTTGTTACTAGGATTTTTCCCTTTTTTTTTTTCTCCTTAGAATAATTCTGGAGGTGGAAGAGCCAGCTTCGAATCACAATGGAGGAGAACTGTTGTTTGGAGATGATGGTTATCTTTATATCTTTACTGGAGATGGAGGAATGGGTGGTGATCCTTTTGGGACATTTGGAAATGCCCAAAACAAGTAGGAATCTTTCATTTGTGTTCTTTGTGGGTAGAGGACAGGCAGGAGATAGTCTTTCTATTTTATGTAATACCAAGTTAAGCTCAATAGCATCACTGATTTCTCTTTCTTTCTGCCCGTCTGTGTTTACTTTCCTATGCTTCGGTAAAGCCTAGGGTTGCTGGCTGGTAAATGATGGCAGATGTAGAACTTTTTGCAATCTAAATATGCACAGGATTGTTCCCTCAGCTAGTTAACTTTGTTCCTTTTGAAATTGTGGGACTTAAGTCATTTGTCCAATTGATTTTAGTGGGATCTAAATTCAACTAACTTAGTCAGGAACCAGCCCATAATTTTTAGTGTGCCTTTATGTGGCAGGTTCTTGGTGATTTGTGTTTTGAGCGATGTCTGCAAAATTTGGCAGATGCTGAACAACTCATGGTGAAAAGTACTTTTGGTTCCTGGCCTCCAGAAACTGCCACCATCAGCTAGTAATCTTTCCAGCCTTATCATAAAATTCACCAATAACGGTCTAGTGACTTAACTTGGAGCCAGTCAATTGCAAGTGCTAACATTTACTTTTTTCAAGCTGAAAAATCAAGAAACAGGCCTCTCATGTGGCCCAAAGTGGAGGAAAGACAGAACCAGACACAAAGTATTGGTGAACACATACTTGGACTTCTGTTTGTCCTTCTCTGCATTCATTGCAAGATTATCAGGAACTGCTGGGGCATGTGCCCCCATTTGGTTCAGATTCCCATTTGTCCCAAAATAAAGGCACAGTCCTGTGACCATTTCTGCACTGTCATGCTTTGATTACTCAAATTTGGTGCTGAAGAATGGAAAACTAGGAAGTTAAAAGTTTATTGAGATCTAGTTCCTGTTGTTCAATCAACAGCAGGCAAATATACCTATATTGCTGTTGCAGGGGAGGGACTGAAGCTCAGCAGAAGAGTATCTGCTTTGTATGCAAAAGCTTTCAGGTTCGATCCCTGGTATCTCCAGGTTGGGGAGGCAAAACTGCCTGAAATCCTGGAGAGCTGCTACTGATGCTAGGCTTCAATGGACCTTCAGTTTTACTCAAGTTTAAAGCCATTTCCTGTTTTGCTGGGACTTTAGAAGGAACTTGACCTCCTTAAGAAGGTCCATCAGCCCTAAGTACAGCATGGGGTTCCAGTTCAAGCATCATGGTTAAACCATGGGATGTCTGTTGCACATATGCTTCAGGCTTCCATGCTCCAATTTCTTCTTCCTATTTCTCAATAACTGTCTTTTGGGCTGAAGCCTGGATCGGGTCAGCTATGGTAACCACTTGAGTCCAAGTTCCTGGAAAGCGCTCCCAGCGTCTTTGGAAGGCTTGCCAAGAATTGAGCCCCAGGCACAATGCAAACAGCTGCACCAGGTCGGAGAAGCAGGTTGGTCACTAGGAATGGCACCTGGCACTACCATTCCCAGCACCTTCCTCTACACCCTGCAGCCACTCTTTGGGCAGCTGCACTTGACAGGGAAAGTGGCCTGCTATGCAGCCTGGGGCCTGCAAGCATGTGCAGACTTCCTCATGGCTCAGGTTGCTTTGCAGGACTGGGCCGAGCATGAGAGGAAGTCCGCCGATGCTGGAGGGGTAGATTCTGAAAGGGTTCATCCCAAGCCTTAGTCACCACAATTATAGTTCGCCTCTAAGTCAGAAGATGAAACTACAGTTCGAAACTGTGATAACCAAAGTTGACTTGGTTCAGACATCACAGCAATTTTTTCTTCCCAAGAAGCAGGATGGAAAGTGTTGGAAGGGTTCAGAGGAATGTTTATGAAGGATTTATTGTGACCTGAATTAGGGAAGTTCCTCCATTCTCCTTGCAGGGCCCATATAGGGAAGCAAGCTATAGATCATCAATGCTTCCAACCCTTCTCACTACACCAATGGTGGGCAACTTTAAGAAGCCACCCTCTGTTCACCCCAGAGGGTGCTGAAAACAGGAAAGAGACTTTAAAAAAATATTTCCACAGCTGTCGCAGAGGGTCAAAATAGCTTCTTGGCCCTTTGGGGCATTCTGTGGCAACTACAGATGCCATTTTGTTTGCAGAAAGCTCCCCTCCTGCATTTGGGGGCATGATGACGGCTGTGGGGCCCACATGTTATCCCTATATTACATGATACACCCCTATATTACATGATAACTGTCTGGCAGTCAGTAGGAACACAGGGACCCTCATTATACCAGGTCAGATTATTATCCATCTAGCCCAGTTTGTTACTCTTACTGGCAGCAGCTGTCTCCAAGATTTCAGGAAGGACTTTCAGCGTTGCATGAGCCTGATCACAGAAGGGAATATTTAGATTATTCTGGTCTTATTTTGGTGCATATGACTTACTTCCCCAAAGTTTATGTTTTGTGCATCTGCTTCCCACAGCTGCTGCTAAGTCTCCAGCAGGCATATATTCATTTGCAAGATATTTCCAGACAGAGGACGTCTCGCACTGCCAGTCAAAAGGCATTGTGCAGCTGTGCCATCTTTCCTTCCTTGATGAAGTGGTATAGTGGAGCCGAGGCTCACAGGGATGTAGCACCAAACCTTTTCATGAGCAGGGACTGTGATGTCATCCGTTATCCTTCTGAGACTTTCCTGTTCCTCTGCATTTTTTACTGTAGTGGAGTAAATTAATTTTTCCAGCAATGATAGATTGTTCCCTGTTGTAATGCAATGTATTTTGGTGCAGCTTGTTTCCAAACATGCAATTAAGACTCACTAGGTTTACAGAAGACCCACTTTTGATGGAAACTGCAAGGACTGGTTTGTTGATCTGGCCTGCATTTTTGGACTCATCTTGGCTGTGTGGCTATTGAATATGTGATGAGCGCCTGCACTTCAAAATTTACTACTGTGTCACTGCCTTAATGAATTTGCTCTGATGAGAAGAATGCTCAAAGAAGTGATGGGGAAGCAGGGGAAGATTACAAGTGGAAGACATTGCTGTCTAGGCCCCCCTCCCCTAAAAGTGCATGACGCAGGCCGATTGCATGACAGAAGTCTCATCTGCAAGCACTGCAGTGCTATTATGCAAACACGGGAAGCTCTCTTGCCTTATTTCTCCATCTGACCCTTTACTGGAACTTTGGTTGAGACTCTTCAGGGTCTCAGCCAACTGGGCCCATTTCCATCACCTAAGGCTTTATCCTTTTACCTGCAGATGTCAGGAATTGCTCTACCATGAGTAGGGATTCACATGAGTTCAGATTTTTATAAATCCAACATACAGATCCTGTAGCGGACTAGCTTTTCCCAAGTCACATGGGATTCTGTGGATGTATAGACCATTTTTAAAACATTGAGTAATTTTATGCAGATATAGAAAAATACAAAAATAGCTGACCAAAAAAGTACATTTCTCCCTCATTGGCTAAAGTGTAAATTGTGTATTTTTTGGGTGGGAGTTATTTTGTGAGGATTTGTGCATTTTTGAATAGCAAATTTGTTCAGGTATATCTTTGCATCTGCACAAAATGCAGTTCCACCAATGAGTGAATCATAGTATGAAAGATATCTGACCATCTGAAAAATGTAGATAGAACAGATTGAACAGAATCTGTACATCCGTACCCCTGAACTGTGGTCCTTCAGCATTTCTGTGCTTCCTAAAGGTGAGAAATGTTTGTGCAAGATGCCTCAAGAAGCTCTATTTAGTCACTGCCTCTGCTATTGCTTTCTTTGGAGACAAAAGTAATATTTTAACAGAGTGCTGTTCTTTATGTTTTGCATACCCAACAGGTCTACGCTGCTAGGCAAAGTGCTCCGTATCAATGTGGACAACAATGATCGTGGGCCTCTTTATCGCATCCCTCCCGACAATCCTTTTATCAATGAACCCAAAACCCGGCCTGAAATCTATGCTTATGGGGCAAGGAATATGTGGCGTTGTTCTTTTGATAGAGGTGATCCTTACACAAAGGAAGGGAAAGGACGGCTTTTCTGCGGTGATGTGGGACAGAATAAATTTGAAGAAATCGACATTGTGGAGAAGGGGAGAAATTATGGCTGGAGAGCAAGAGAAGGGTTCAGCTGTTACGACAAAAAGCTTTGCACCAATTCTTCATTAGGTGATTATGGTTTCTGAGTAGCTGAACTGGACAGTGGATTATTTTGATGTCAGTCCTTCCTTCCTTCCTTCCTTCCTTCTTTGATTTATATCCTGCTTTTTCTTTACCACAGACTCAAAAGTGGCTTACATCATTCTCTTCTTCCTGCTCTCCCATGACAACACCCCTGTGAGATAGGATGAGCTGAGAGTCTGTGACTGGCCCAAAGTCACCTAGTTGGCTCCATGGCTGAGTAGGGATTAGAACCCAGATTGCTTGAGTTCCAGTCCTGTGCTCTTAACCTCTATATCACATGGCCTTATGCTCTTAGCACTTGGATTCTTCATTTATAGACATACATTCTGGGGACTACCTAACTTGTGAACCACTGAGCTTCATACATCTCACTAGCCATTTCAGAGGGTGCACTTGGGGCTTAGTAATTATCTTTTGTCTGAATAGAACCACAAGAACTGAGGAAAGAGATAGCCTAGAACAGGGGTGTCCAAACTTTTTGTAAGGAGGGCCAGATTTGGTGAAGTGAAAATGTGTGGGGGCCGACCATTCAGCCTGACATTCTTTGAACCATTAACATTAAATGCAAATGAACTATTTTATGAAAGACTAAACAAATAACTGCACTAATGTGAAGGGTGATACTGAGATCTTGACTGCATTATATAGGCCAGGTCTGGCTCAAAAACAGTGGTTTTGATGCACAAGATGTCACGCAGGTGGAAGTCACTTAGTCTCGTCCTCACGCGGTTCTTGTTAATGTTCATAACCAAGAATGTCTTTTCGCACAAGTATGTCGAACCAAACAAGCTCAGCATTTTCTTAGCAAATGTTTGAATCTCTTGGAACCTGTCTATCCAGCTGGCGGTAAAAGTTGACAAGAGGAAGCTGTTGGTGCCGACTGTGACACTCGGCGTCACACTGCAGCTCAATGAGCTCCAGCTGCAGGTAGTCTGAAGCGTCTTCAGGGTCCACAGAGAAAGGAGATGAAAAAAGCGTGATCTCCTTTTCAATAGCTGCAAAATCCCGAAAGCGCTGTTGAAACTCCTCAGCTAGAGATGAGATGTCTGCTTCATACCTCCTTATTTGCACACTTATATTGTTCTGTGGAAAACTGGTCATTATTTCCTGCAGCAATGGGAAATGTGTGGTATTGGGCTGCGTTTGTGACAGGTGCCTTTGGAAAAGTAGTAGCTTGGTCCCAAAGACTTTGATATGTGAATACAGTTGGCTTATCACTGCATTTTGCCCCTGAAGGCTTGTGTTCAGCACGTTCAGATGTCATGTCAACTAAAAATCCAAAATCAGTCAGCCAAACAGGATCAGATAGCTCTGGCATCGGTTGTCCCTTTTTTGCCAAGAATTGTCCAATTTCCTCCCTAAGAGAGTAGAAGCGCTGCAGTGCAGACCCCTGACTTAGCCATCTTACCTCGTTGTGATACACAACATCTCAGCCTGGATGTCGAGTTGAAACTGGTGGTGGCACAGGGCTTTGGAGCAAATATAATTAATAGCCTTCATCACCGGTTTCATAACATGATCATATTTCAGATATTTGGCACAGAGAACTTGTTGGTGAATAATACAGTGGAGTTTTATAGCTTTGCCTCCTTCACTGACTTTGTCACAGACTAGGATTGATAATTCACTCGCCAGCCATGGCAGGTGCGCCATCCGTAATAATCCCAGTGACTATTCCACGGTAGTTTCATGTCATCTACGGCAGAACAAACAGAAACAAATCTGTTCCTCTTGTTTGGTCCTTAACACTCTGGAGGTCAAGTAGCTCTTCACTCACGTTCATGTCATTGTCCACTCCTCTCAAAAAAAATCAATAACTGAGCGGTGTCAGATGCATCCGTGCTTTCGTCACAGACTAACGAAAAAAAGTCAAACTCCTTTTGCCTCTGACTGTCTCTTAGTATCAGATGAAACGTCTTCAGTTCTCCGTACCACAGTGTTACAAGCCAGGCAAACATTGGCAAACTCTTGCTTCTTCTCAGGACAAATTTTCTCCACCATTTTCATCACGCAGTCTTTAATAAATTCACCCTCAGTAAAAGGTTTGCAGTGCTTGGCAATCAGCGTTGCCACCTCATAGCTTGCCTTTGTGGCATTTTCATTTGACTCACGGGCTCTTGTGAAAAAGCGCTGCTGTGCTGTTAAAGCAGCTTCCAGTTCCTTCAATTTTTCATTGCGTTTGTTCCCAGTTAGCTTGTTGTAGTTAGCATGTTTCGTCTGGTAGTGCCTCTTGATATTGAATTCCTTGAAAACAGCCACAGTCTCTTGGTAAATTAGACAGACACAGTTGTTTCGTATTTCAGTGAAAAAATACTCCAATTTCCACTTGTCCTGGAAGCGGCGGCCCTTGCTGTCAACTTTCCTCTTTTTAGTTACAGTCGCCATTTTAGAAATGGGCACACAAGCCTTGTGCCACAAGGGTCACGCGGCGCGAGTGCTGACTCAGGTCTACTGCCATCTTCTGGTGAAATATAACCACTAGCCTTGAAGGAGCAGGGGACAGCTGAGGGAACCGCTGTGCAGTGAAGGGAAAAACGCTGGCCGGCGGGGATGAGTGACAGGCTGAGCTGGCGGGGAGAAGAGGCTGAGGGCCGCTCGAAATTTGAAAACGGGCCACAATTGGCCCCCGGGCCGGACTTTGGACATGCCTGGCCTAGAAGAACATCATGTATGGCTAGCAGGCTTCATTCATCTTGGGGAACTGCAAGTTGCAAGCTTAGCTCAGATATTCCAGTCCTATTTTCATGCCAGAAGTGAAACTGAAGTGCAGAATGCATTGCAGCAGAGTTCTTCTATTTAGGGTTATGCAAAGAGAAGCGGAAACTGAGGCTGAGCTCCTTTGCTGTTGCTGTTCTGCTGCTTATCCAATTATGCAAGTAATAACACCCCGCTGTGCCAGATTTTCCTAGTGGTTGTCTTATAGATTGGATAATGTATGAAAGGGACAAATTCCATGCTGATGTACAACTCTGAGTTAATGATATCCCAAAGAGGCATACATACTAGAGGCTTTCATGTACTCTTATTTCCTCAGGTATTGACAGCTGATGGGTTAAAATCTGAATAAGGAAAATTCTTGGAGCCCCAGTCCTAACTTTTACATGCTTGGAAGTAAGCCTTTTTAACTTCACTGGAATTTTATCCCAAGAGTGCTTACTCTCACAGCCTTAAGTAGGGCAGTAAAGCATAGTTTCTCTAAATCATCATTAATCCCATGGCCCAGACCAGGCATTCTGTTTGCTTGTTAAAAGCTACTTTGCCTTTTTTCAAAATGTGTGCATTTATACTTTTGGGAAAAATTATCTTGCATGGGCCCAGTACATGACATAAATGTTGGTTTAGGTCAATAGTGAAAGGTGTGAAGTCTAGACTTGAGATTAAGTTGCCAGTATGCAAGTCTAGATTTCAGACTTGTCTGTCAGCTGAACTAAATTAGATCTGTGGAAAGGGATGGATGTTGGCACAAGTCTCTGCTGATGGCTGAAGCTCGTGATCTGTCTTATACTGCAGTCTGTCCTGCACCGAGTGAGACGTCTAGCCTAATATTGTTGACTTTGACAAAGACTCTCCAGGATTTCAGGCATGAGGACTTTCTGACTGACCTGGAGAGACCAAGGATCAAACCTGGTGACCTATGTGCAATGCTGTGGCTAGCTCCTTAAATTTGTGTCTCCTTCTCATTCTAGTCAAATTAAAATATCTATATTTAACTTAAATCCCCAGTACACAGAAAAAAATAAAAGATGAAACAAAGAGGTAGTTAGGTGCTCCTCTGAGTGTCCTAGCTTGGGATTCTTTCTCCAGTCCCTGAAAAAGCACTACTTTGGTCTTCTGCAGTCTGGTACCCTTTCAGTGTTTTAGACTGCAGTTCCCATCAGTCCCAGCCAGCATGGCCAACAGTCAGAAATGCTGGGAGTTGTTCATCTGGAGGACACAAGGCCAGGGGATTAATGACTGCGCCTTCCTGTTCTTGTGGCCTAGAGATCTGAACACTTGGTTACATCCCAGAGGTTCAAGGAGGGCTGGTGGAAGTTGCTAGCATCCTTGGGATTCCAGCTGATACCTGGCACGAGATCTGACTTTCTGTTCACCTGTGTCTGTGGGCATGAGATAACAAAGAACACTGGAAAGAAGATAGGCAGCTGGCATTCGACTTTTCCCACAATGCACTGAAGTGACATTTCAGGGCATTGTGGGAACATTGACGTGGTAGATAGCTCAGAGTTGACTGTTGATGTCACAGGTAAAACTGCTGGCTTGTGGGGCTCACTCCTTAGGCACCTAAGAATATACTTCTCCCCTTCTATACACACCATTATGTCTGTGCCAGTTTCCTGCTCATAGAAGTTAACCCCCCCCCCAATCATTGTAATACCAGCTAACAAGTCCAACAAAAGGCAACAAAGAGCAAGTATGACTTTGATTACATGAGCAAAATTGTGTACGGTTGTTCATAGATCATCAGATGACCTGCAACATCTGCAATTTTGCAGGCCACCAACAATACTGTCTTTAATGTGCGTTCTGGTTTTCTAAAGGCCACCTCCTACTCTCAGTGGACAAGTCCAGTGGCTACAAGAAGAGAAGTATTGTGATGATGGAAACAAAAGGCCCATGACACCCTCACCCATCCTCTTTCTTCTGATCTTCCTACGATTCTATATAAATGGGGGTGTTCTTCTAATGCAATGCAGAAGCCAAAAGTGATCTGATGTGGTGTGCCCTTTATAGAGGAGCTGAAAGATTTGGGCTAGAGCTGAGCTCTTTTGTATCCATTAATACTGATCTAGGTTTGTAAAAGGTGATCCAGTAAACCTCAACACTGTCAAAAGGCACAACTTTAGCAATGCTTGCAACTTTGAAAGCTGTCCCTATGCTCAATTTCCATCTCTATACACCACTGAATTTTCATGCCCTCTCTCTTTCATGCTTGTCACCAATCTCTTCAAAAAAGACAGCACATACAGTCTCTCTTCACTTAATGGACCAAACTGATCCACTGGAAAAAAAATTCTCCATGTTTCTCAGTGGTAGAGCCCTTGCTTTGCATGGAAAAGGCCCCAAGTTCCATCTTTGTTATCTCTAGGTAGGGTAAGCAAAGAATCCTGCCTGAAAACCTGGGGAGAAGCAGTCAGTGTCAACAACACTGGGGTAGACATGTGGCCTCAGAAGCAATACACTCCCTTCTCTCAAGGCTTGCAGTATTTGTGTCCTTCAGTTTTGGAACTGCCTAGTGATTCACAGGGTTGAAGTAGTGAATTTTCCATACTATTTTCTACAGGAAATTATGGGGTACAATACTATATGCGTGATTATAAATGGCATCTTATCTTCTCCCACTACAGATGATGTGCTTCCAATATATGCTTATCCGCACAAGATGGGAAAGTCCGTTACAGGAGGCTATGTCTATCGGGGTTGTGCATCTCCAAACTTGAATGGGATATACATATTTGGTGATTTTATGAGTGGGTAAGTGATGGTAGGCTGTCCATGGGGGTGCAGGGGGGGTGCAATGAATAACCCCAACTGGGATTCTCAGAAGGAGGTGCGAGTGCTTCTATACTATGGTTCTGTTTGTAGACTCTTGGCTGAGTTGGCTGCTTTATCACAACTAACTTTGGTCTCTCATCATGTTACAGCCTTGTTTTCATATTAATGTACAAATGCATGCATGTAGCAGTAGGAAGAGCTGTTAAAACTACCATTGGAATAAAATGGTGCAGTTTGAAAATGGATAGTTATCTTAGCAAGGAAGTTAAACTATGCTTTACGAAACTTGGAGGGTGTAACCACTTGGTGAGTTTGTTGTCCCTTGATACAAATATGTTTGCATATACCAAGCACAGGTTTAAGCACACCCAAGGGAATCTGAAGATGTCCTGTCAAAAATGATTGTATACATTTGTATTTAATAGGCAGAACATGCAGTAATTTGCAGCATTCTCTGTATCTAGCGCTTTGCTTCCAACCGCGGGTTCCCATTTTAGCTCCTAGTCCTATATTCATGTGTGTTCAATTTTAAAAGTCCTGTTGCATATGAACATTTAACACTGCCTTCCCCAACTGGCTTTCAAGAAGGTTTGGGTATCAACTCTGTTGTCTCAGCCAACATGGTCCATGGTCATGAATGCTGACAGCTGCAAGTTCCAGACATCTGGTGTATACTGGATTAGGGGTGCTGGTTGAACAGAAGTGACCTATATAAATGGGATTTATGTGCATTTTTCTAAGGCACTGTAGTGTGATTCATCTACTCTTCTTAAAATCAAGAAAACCCAGCTTTCTGCCTTTGCATTTTAAACTAAGATTCTGTTCCTTATGGTTAAGATGGCTGTTGGGGTACTCAGGGCTCAAAAATAAAATAATACAAGGTAAAAATACGTTGCCTTATGATTCTTGCTAAGTCTGCAGTACAAAGACTCTAACTGGGCCAATAAACTGAAGCTCAATCCAGACAAGACGGAGGTCCTGTTGGTTGGCGGATCGGGCTTCGGTGAGGGTGAATTGAACCTAGTCCTGAATGGGGTTGCACTCCCTCTTAGGGACAAGGTCCACAGCTTGGGAGTGCTCCTCGACCCAGAGCTTTCACTGGAAGCTCAGGTGACAGCGGTGGCGAGGAGCGCTTTCCTTCAGCTTCGGCTGATCCATCAGCTGCGCCCCTACCTGGAGTACGACTGCCTGGCGACAGTGACACACGCGTTGGTGACTTCCTGCCTTGACTTCTGTAATGCGCTCTATGTGGGGCTACCCTTGAAGACAGTCCGGATACTTCAATTGGTTCAAAATAGAGCTGCCAGGCTGCTGACGGGGACTGGGCGTTATGTTCACATGACTTCAGTCCTCCGTCAGCTTCACTGGCTTCCCATTGAAGTTCGGGCCCAATTCAAGGCGTTGGTGATGACCTATAAAGCCCTAAACGGCTTGGGTCCTGGTTACTTGAAGGAGCGCTTATGTCCATATATGCCCGCCCGCCCCCTGAGATCTGCGGGAGAGGCCCTTCTCCGGGAACCCTCCGTGAAGGAAAATAGGAGGGTGAGTACTCGGAGGAGGGCTTTCTCAGCGGTGGCGCCCAATCTATGGAATGCGCTTCCCAGAGAGGTCCACGCCGTCGTTATTTGTTTTTCGGTGCCACGCGAAGACCTTTTTATTCAAACGTCATTTTAACTGTTAATAGTATTTATTTATTTTATTCTTTGGCCAGGGTGACTTATTTTATATTGTTAATTTATTTTAATTGATTTATGTTGTGAGCCGCCCCGAGGCTTCGGCGAATGGGGCGGCATAGAAATTTTCTAAATGAATAAACTATAATTTGATATTTGAATCTAATCTGGTCCAATAAGCAACTGTTCAGCTGCCATTTTACACATTCTGTGTTTTGCAAAAAGAAAGGGCCAAACATCAAATATTTTTGATTGGAGCAGGTGGGATAATTTCATCCTGTGTTAACAAAAACTAGCATTAATTGCATTTGGGGTCATTTTTCACCCTGTGGAAGTGTCCCAAGCAGGAACAATTCTGTACATTAAAAGTTTTCCTTACGGCTGAAATTTTCTCCCAAAGTGCTGCAATCAACATAACAATGGCTTTCAGCTATCAGCAAAAATGTGCAATTTAAGGGTTAATCCTTAAATTATGCAAAACAACTGTGTTTGGCAGGTTTCTCTATATAACAGTAGTTTGGCCTACCAACTTAAAAAAAAAACCATAGCAAAGATTTCTCTTAATGCATTTTAATTCTGTTCACTGGACATGTTAACTAAGAATATTTGCTTTAGAAAGAGACCAAGATGTGCTTTGATCCTTCTTTTATTCCTTTGTTTAGAGCTTAATCTGGCTACAGAAGTACCCCAAACTAAACTAGTTTTTGGAGAGTCTGAGGTATATGTGTGTCCAAGGCATGTTTTGATTTAGAAGAAACTGCAGAAGGCAGGAGGCTGATATTTGGGGATGTTTGTTCTTTGTTTCAATGTCATTAAAGGACTAGTCAGTAAGATTAATGTTTAAATTGCAGTACATAATGTAAGCTACAGGGAAGCTGGTTATCCCACATTGAAGGCTACAAGTTGTTCTCTTAAATTTCTTGATATGAGTTATTTTACAGATTTGTTTTGGACTTGCAGGCGCCTAATGTCCTTAAAAGAAAGTCGTGCAACAGGAGAATGGCAGTACACAGAAATTTGCATGGGAAAAGGTCAAACTTGCATGTTTCCTGGACTTATTAATAACTACTATCAGTATATCATCTCTTTTGCTGAAGATGAGGCAGGTAATCCTTTAATTGCTTAATGGAGTGTGTGTCTCAGAGTCTCACTACTGTGGACAAGCAAAATTCTTTGTGTTTCAGAGTCCATATTCTGCAGCCCTAAGACTCTGTGCCTTCGCATCATTTGGCCTTCCATGCCTTCAGTTTTCCTTATCAACTTTGCTCTGACGCTTTTTTTCACTGTTTAGAGAAGCTACCTATACTCCTCCCAGCCACCCTAACACTTCGGGGAATGATCCTAGCTCCATGGTCATGCTCTTGCCTTGCAAGTGGAAAGTCCCTTCACTCCTTGGTAGCTCTAGGTAGGGCGCCTTCTGAAGATGTGGTGCCACTCGGTGAAGACAACAGACCACCACCCAACAAGCTCAGTATCGCCTTGGATTTTGATTCGGTGTTCCTGTAATACAGGCTTGTGAAAGCTGTGGCCCTCCAGATGCTGTTAGGCATCTTACCATTATTGACCATTGGCTAGGGCAGCTGGAGCTCATAGGAGGTGGAGTTCACCAGCATCTGGCTGGCCACAGATTATTACACTATGGGTGCATATATGAAAGCTGAAGGCCTGGCAGCCACCATGAGAGGCAGACCAACAAAACAGAATAGACTTTGGAGAAATTAAGTCGTTACACTGCGAGCTGAGCAGATGAGCATAGGAATCCCGTTGCTTCGTCAGACTGAGCTCCATCTGGTTCTGCTCTCTGTTTCCAACAGCAACCAAGCAGACACTGCTGGCGGCTGGGAGCTAAAGCTGGCAGCCTTCCCCAACTGGGGTCCCTCCAGATGTTTTAGTCTACAACTCCCCTCATTCCTGGCCAGCATAGCCCCCTCCCCTTTATGAGCATATGAGTTTTCCTGCTGGATCAGACCAACAGTGCATCTAGCTAAGCACTCCCAGGCTGGCCGGGGATTATGGGAGTTGCAATCCAAGACCAGCTTGGAAACCACCTTGGGGAAGGCGTCTGCAGAATTGTGTTCATGGCTGTCCACCTTGCCTTTATGGATCTTCTCATGAGTGATTCAGCTGAGAGCCAACGACGGCCCAACTTTAAGCATGGTCAGATGGGGACTAGAACAGGGTTCTCCTGGGTCCTAGTGCAGCACTCCAACCACCACACCATACTGACTCTCAATAGTTACAATTAGAACATAAAGCTGGTGGCATTCAGTTATGTTGGAGTCTTCAGGAGCCAGAAGAAGGATCTCTGAGATAGGGTTCCTGACTTGAGAAGCCCTGTCACTTACATTTATAGTCTGAATTGCTCAAGACAGATTTATGAGTCAAAACGCACTTTGCAATTCTTAGCCACAGACGGACAACAGCGTCACCTCACCAGTGCATAGTATGGTTGCTAAGCAGCAGCTGTTTACGAGTTTGGGATTACAGCTCCTCTGATCTACGTTTCTTGGCATCGAAACTGTGTGACTCTTTGCCAAAATCCCAAAGGTGTACTTTAAAAAAAGTATTCTGGGCAGCCAAAGAGATTGTGCTTGCTGCAAACCCTTACTGAGTAGATAGAGAATAATTGGATGGATGGTTCTTTTGTTTATAAAAGAAATGGAAGTGAAACAGCCAAAGAACAGCTACCCTTTTACACATGATTGTGTATCCTTCAACAGAATTCAAATAAAAAATAGAAACATAGAAACAAAGCGAGTCAGAAAGGGCCTCCCGGGCCATCTAGACTGACCCCTGGCTCCAGCCGGCTCCGCTCACGACATGCCCACCATGTGGACGTCCAGCCTATCCTTGAACACCCTCACTGATGGGGCCGCAACGACCTCTCGTGGAAGCCCATTCTACACCCTCGGGGTCCTATCTGTCAGGAAGTGCTTCCTGGCATCCAAATGGAACCTTGGCTCCCTGAGCTTTGCTCCATTGGAGCGCATCCTGCCTTCCTCTGCAGGGGAGAACAGGTCTCTACCCATCTCCATGTGACACCCCCTCACATACCTGTATGTTGCCAACAATACAGACAGCACTGTCATCCTAAGCTGTTCCTTCTTTCAGTACACCTTATCTTCTCTAGCTCTTCTCTGATTTCATTATTGTTGCAGTATTTCTGATCCTTAAAAACAAACATACACACAAGGCAGAGGCAACACACTTTTTCCAAAGTGATGCTCTTGAAATTTTTGCCACTGCCAGACAATTGCCATCTCACTATCCACCTTTTCAGGAGCAAACGTGAGCAAGGAAGAAGAGAATAAAGGCAGACTGAAGCCCCTACTAGCTTTAAAGCAGCCTTCTTTAATGTGGTACCTTCTAGAAGTGTTGGACTATAACTACCATCACCCTCAGCCTGTTTTGTGCTCTGAAGAATGGGTTGTAGCTCTGTTTGGGGTGACAGTTCTATAATTATTTGAAGTGCAACATTAGTGCCTCCACTACTTTTTGCAGGGCAAAATAACCAGTTCCTTCATTCTCTCACCAAGAGACTTGGATGTTACTCTTTGGCAGAGTCTTGCCTTTAAAACAACAACACAGCTTTGTTATTTGAATGTGAACCTATTTGACTTATGCACACACATGAAGAATATGTTGGATGCCATAGTTCTCAAGATAGTTTCTTCGAATTGCCCCATTTGCTTCTTGCTGTCAAGTAACAGTGTTCAGGATCATGGCAAAAGCCTGCATATTGTTAATTTAATCTGATGATCTGGTTAACGTATCAGAAATTTCTGTGCATGACTTTTGGAGTTTGCTTCTGGCAGACTTCATGTACTGCTTTGTGACGCCAAATTGACTTCTCTGCTTAGCGGAGTTGCATGCAAATGATTCATGCCTTTTTTGTTTTTTCCTGAAGGGGAGCTTTACTTCATGTCAACTGGATTACCCAGTGCTACTGCTCCTAATGGAGTAGTTTACAAAATGGTCGACACTTCCCGGTAAGCCTCAGAGCATTTTTGCTCATAAACATTTGAGCCATCTGACAGAGGGGGAAAACGGCTTTTTGGCTTTGCTTATTCAGTGGTTTGATTCTTCCATCTAACAGATGGTTACAAGCAGAACATGGATGGTTATGTATTGGGAGGATATCCTTCATTGGGGTTGGACTTGATAACTTTTAAAGTCCTTCCAACACTATGGATCTGTAATTCCCTTATGTGTTTTTTAATTTTTATCAGGAGAGCACCTCCAGGGAAATGCCGTGCTGAGCCTCTACCAGTAAAAGTCAAAAGCAGGCTTATTAAGTTTTCTCCAAAAGAAAGTGAGTATTGGAAACCTATCCCAACTGATATTTACAGTGGGGACTGAAATTCCAGTTTGCACGAGAACTTTTAATGAGTATCTCTGGTTTCAAGAGGGTGAGCTAATGGGATGACAAGCCATAGAGTTGCAAATGCTAAGAATGTTATTGATTTTATTGATTTCAAGTTATTTCTATAGATTTCAAGTTATCAGTCTCCAATGGGGAAGCTAGCATGCCAGAAAATTGACTATTCAGATGACACTGGAGTTCATTCTCACAAATAAGCTGTATTTTATTTCGATTCTTTATCGTCAGGTTTGACTCCTTTGGCTCCTGTTTGTACTTAGAAGGCAGGCAGACAATTTTTTAAACCTGAAACGCAAGATACAGAATGAAAGCTGAGGAAAAAGAAATATTTTATTTACCCCAAGGTCTTCCAAGACTGCAAGCAATCTGATATGCAGATAGTGATGCCTTTACTACCAAGGGCATAATCTTATATATGTTTAGGCAGGAAGAAGTATTACAACTTCTAGCAAGCCCCAGCCATCTGTGCACAGGGTTGTGCCCTAAAGTGTTGAATGCATTTCAGTCTGCACGGGGCAAAATGTGGCTGATAGAAGCACTGCTGTTATCAATGGATTGAGTGTACCTAAATTGTTATCTTTGCTATGCGTAGTAATATATTGTTCATTCTCTGTAATCAGTGGTGTCAAGCAGAAATGAACTGATCCTTTCAGAAAAGCCCTGTACTCTTGAGAAATTTGTTTAAATATATTGCCTGCACCATGCGATTAACCCTGAACATCCTTTCAGGCAAATAAATAATAATCTTAGGGATGAAGAATAAAACATTAGCAGAAAAAATCATTCAGTAGCTTTCAGAATCTGTGGGCAAGGAAGTATCTGTTCACTTGCCCATTGCTTTCTTATTCCCAAACTAAAAAGGGAAAACTTCTCTTTTCACTAACCCCTGCATGCGCAGAATTTTTTGTGGGTTGTCCAAGCAACTTCACTCCTTTTATGCACATTCCAGTTGCAAAGAAGAATAAGCAGTGAATGTTCCTGATTCCAGCCACTACTAAATGAGAGAACAACTAACACAATAGCAAGCTGATGCTTGCACAAGTCTAGTAGTAATGAAGGCCACAGCATGACAAAAGAAAAGACCTTGAAGATACTTTCTGTAGAGCTGGTAGAAACATAGTGAGAATTGTTGAATGATGAAATCTTGAGAGATAAATATCCCAGCCATGAAAGTTTTCCTGTTTGGGATGTGGGCTTAACAGTGTTGTTCCATGTCCCATCCTTGCATGCTTCCTGTGGCAAATGAGTGTGCCATTCATGCACTGCAGTGTTGCTGTGCTTCCTCTGAAGGCAGGGAGGATCAGGTGGAGTCTGCACAGGGCCAGTGGAGTTTGTGCTGCTCCATTACAATGGGTGATGCGCAGCTCCAGCCCGTCTTACTCTGCCATCCTCCTCTATGTTGTCCTGCAAGAGTCCATTTTCAGTTTGCAGGTGGGGTGACAGGGAACCCCTTGTACTCAGGTGGGAAAAAGGAGGAAGTTGGGGTAGCTCAGATGGTGGAAACTGCCTTTGGAAACCATCTGCAAACTTTAGCTGGCCCAAAATAAGGCAGCAAGTTTTTTTCAACAAGGCTTGGCAGCATGTTATGGCATATTATTTTCTCATCTGCATGGGCTACCCAGCCATTTCTAGGGTCAATTCAAAATGCTGATATAAATATTAAAAGCTCTCAGTAGTTCAGGGCCAAGTCACTTGAAGGTTTTTCTCCTTCCAGAAGATAGAAGAGCCTTGACCTTAAGCTCATCTTTACTGATCCTTCTTTGGAAGCTTTTGCCAAGTGAATTGAAGTGGGTGGCTCCTAAGAAGGCCTTTTCTGTTGTGGCACCCCAGCTGGACGACGTGCTGCACAGAGAGGCTTATTTACATTATGCTCATGTTGCAATTTACATTATGCTCATCTTGCAACCAGGTCACAACCGTCTCATTTTCCCAGAGCTGGGACATTTTAGCCCTTTAAGGAACAATGCAGTAGAGCTGGCCATAATCCACAGTGGATGATGGGTGTCCTGTGCATGGTGGGAGGCATGCACAGGTAAAGGTTGACTCTTCACATCTCCCACCATGTGAACATTCGAGGAGCCAATTTTGGTCATCTCAGTGTTCAGCCTTCGAGCAGGTCAGAAGGCATATGAGGTGCCACCAGGATGCTTTGTATGCTGGCAGGGCATGTCTCCTCCCTTCCCTGTCCCCAAAAGCCTGTCTCTGAGGTTGCTTGTGATCTCAGCGCCACAGCCAGCAGAGTTCTTTCCACAGCAGCTGCAAGGGTGAGGGGAAGGCACTTCTGGTTCAGAATCTCAGCAAGTTTCTGAAGTTGGAACTGGGACTCCAGAAATTCCTATGGCCATCTAGACTCTTTCCAGCAGCCACAGGATTGCACCGAGTCAGTTTCTGTTCTTTTAAATTGGTTAGTGCATTCTGGATCTTTTCACTGCTGCAGTGTCTTATTTTCTGTTTTATACTGTCATTTTAAGCATTTATTTTATATTGTATCATGTTGTATTTTCTGCTTTTAATTGCTGTGAACTACCCAGAGAGCTCTGGCTGTTGGGCGACAGAGGAAACTAGTAAATAGTGGTGTCGTGGTTGAGGAGCAAATGAGACTGGTGGTGAGGATGCAGTGCTGAGCCACCCGTAGCAGCTTGGCCAAGCTCCTTGCCAGGGCTGGTGCTAGCCGTGTACAAAGCACAAGGCAAGAGGACCTTGTTGTTCCGGGCTGTGTGCACTGGCCCACCTCCATGCAACTCCTTGTGCCCAAGCAACGGAGGCAATGCGTGGCCGCTCTATTTCTTCTCCCTTAACATTTATCTTCTGGTGAGGAAAAAAGATGGAAGAAGTGATGGGATAACACAGCAGGGCTAAACTTCCTCTGTGTTTCCCTGTAAAATTCTGCAAATGAGGCACTTCTGTTATTTACTTACTTACTTTATTCATTAAAAAGTTTTTCTAACCCATCCACCACTAGCATCACAGAATGGCTTACAATATAAACAGATGGAATAAAATGAAACACCACAGCATCCAGCAGTTTGAGATGATAACACCCCAGTTAAAATCAATTAAACCTTAAAATGACAGGAAAATAAAAAGGTTTTCACCTGACACCCAAAAGAGTATGATGTCAGTGCCAGGCGAACCTCTCTGGGGAGCGTATTCCATAGTCGGGGTGCCACCACAGAGAAGGCCCTCCTCCAGCTAGTCACCTTCCTAATCTTCAAGGAGGGCTCCCAGAGCAGGGTCTCCGCCTCAGATTTCAAGGGGCGGGAGGGCACATAGGGAAGAAGGTATAAGAGCCTTGTGGTGGATTGCGACTCTGCTCTCCATTGATAAAAGGGCTGTGCTCACGGAAGGTGCTTTGATCCAGTTCTTAGGAACTCTACATTCTTTCTGTTGCACTACAGCTTTCTCCATTCATTAGGGTTCCTGTCTCTCTGTGTAGGACTTGCAGAGAGCAGAACAGGCTCTCTGGGGAAGAGGGGATGGGAAAATTCATTTCCACAAGTTACGGTTCTAAATGTGGCTCCACCCTCTCATTTGGAAGCACCCTGGGGGACCCAGACTGTTCAGGAACTGTAAAAAATGTAAACACTTGCCTTTGTTTTTCTCTTGTAGAGCTTATAGTGAAAATGCCACCCCAGCGCCCTAAGACAAGAGCCACTACCAGAGCCCCGACAAGGAGCAGAACAACAGCACCACCACGAGCCACAACTCCTGACTGGTTGGAACAACTCTTGACCCTACTAAGAAATGAGAACAGAATGCAGATGACCACTGTAGCACCAAGGACCAGAGCTCCAAAGCCCCGAAAGGGAGGAAGGGCTGGGAGAAGAAGGGGGCAGAGAAGGAAAAATAAGCCCACGGGTGTTCCTGCACGGACACGGAATGGTGCAGTCCGAATAATGGATGGCAATGTGAAGGGGAAGGACCAAGGGAGAGTCGAAATTTTTATCAATGGACAGTGGGGCACCGTGTGTGATGACCTGTGGAACTCAAAAGCAGCTGCAGTGGTTTGCCGCCAGTTGGGCTACGCTTTTGTGACCAGGGCAACCAAGAAAGCAGAATTTGGGGAGGGCCATTCACTTCCTATTCTTCTGGATGATATTCAGTGCACGGGACATGAGAAGAATCTCCTGGAATGCACACATGCAGATATTGGGGTGCACAATTGTAACCACAACGAGGATGCAGGAGTGATTTGCAGTCATGTAGATGTTTTTTGAGGCTGAACAGCAGGGGAGAGAGCATGGGATGAAGCTATGCTGTTCTTTTTCATTAAAAAACATGGTCCAACCTGGGAGGTTTATCAGATAAATTGAAGATATAGGAGGCATGATACCTGCCTACCAGATAAGCAGAAGAAATATATTGCTTGTAAAATGACCACACCCATAAACAGTGGTTGCTTACCATTTTACAAGCAAAAATATATAACAAGCATTTTTAAAGATTTGGTTCCATTGTAAATAAAGAGAAGGATCATGCTGGATACCTTTGATTAAAAATCGAACACTGGACAGATAGCACATGCTGGCTTTATATTACTTTGTAAAAATATATACTTTGTGATCAGTCCATATCTTAGTATGTTAATAGTAGGATGATTGTGGAAGAGGCAACAAAAAGGGAGCCTGCTCATGTACACATGATCACTACTTGGGGTAAATCTTAGACTTGTCCTTTCAGGCCAAGCTCTAGTGAATTCCATGGGACTTAACTGAGTTTAGGACTGCTGTCTCACTGATGTGGACCTAAGGGAATGCCACAACCTAGTGAAAAAGCATTGGACTTGATGAGGATGTGGTCAGACATTAGATAGGCTTCCACATATGAGATAAAAAGCAAACATGGCATCATAGATCTCCTTAAAATTGGAGATCTATGAAGAACAAATTGGGGATTAATTAACTCACAACTTGCTGTGAATTGTGCCATCACCATTTGAAATATGAACCCGTGGCATCAAACCTGGACATTGTAGGTTAATCATGGGTTAAAACAATTCACTGTTAACCTAGATAGTACTGTAAGTTAACTCATAGAGTCCGAGTTCAGACATCACAGAGGAGCCTCCAATCAGGCTCATTGGACATGGCATATTTGAAAAGACAGTGGCATATGACACAGCAGCATCTTCCAACAGCTCCATGACAGGCAGACATCCAAGCACCTGTCATTCTTCCTAGCATGAAATGCACGGATGGGTACATTGTGGCCCTTCAGGTACTACTGGGCTACAGCTTTAATCAGGTCTATAGCCAGAGTGAGGGTTGATCAGAGTCGCAATCTGACAATAGCTAGAAAGTTACAAGTCACCCTATTCCTGTTGTAGTGGAAAAATGGTAATCCTGGCACCTGTGGAACAGCTGCCAGTGCTAGTTTTATTCTGCAGAGTAACTTGCAGAATTGACGTAGCAGATAGAAAGTACTCAGCTTACTTGCATCAGCGGTTAGCACTTTTTCCTCATTTTTTCCCCAATGTATTATTGTAGACCAAGAACCATCTCTGCCTTCTGAGGGATATAAAAATGGTATGCAGTACAAAGACTGTTTTGTATTTTGTACAAAATACAAATGATGTTTGTATTTTACAAAGATTGATACAAAGATACGAAATCTTTATGATACAAAGATTGTATTTTGTACAAAATACAAATGATGTTTGTATTTTACCAGTGTGTGGCCAAATCTGTCCAAACTTGTGGAAGGTCAAGAATATCAATCTGACCATATGGTACTTTGCTGCAACCCCTTTAAGAATTACAAAATGTGCAACAAAACTAAGAACCAGCAAAAATAACTCAAAAGGATCAGGAGAGTGAAGAGAGAGAATGAGACACAAGCCCTGGCAATCCAAAAGCTTGGTGAATGGTGGAGCAGTGATGAGGTTTGAAGTGAAGGCATTTTCCATGCTAGTCCTCAGAAATAAATCCCTGAAGGGAGCTCAAAACTGAAGGAAGTTGTAATGAGTTGTATCAACAAAATCAGTTTAGGAATTTTTGGCCACTGGGAGCAGCTCACCTGTAACATTTACTGCCTAATACTAAACCACATCACCCCAGTCCAGAACACTGGACAGTTTAAGGTGCAATATAGCATTGCTACGCAAGTTTCATTTCCACCCAGCTACTTTAAGGTTTGTTGCAAAATTTAGGCTTAAATTGAAGAAAGTAGTGAAAAGCAGTAGGCCACTCAGGTATGACCTAAATCATATTCCTGATGAATATACAGTACAGGTGACAAACAGATTTAAGGAATTAGATCTGATAGACAGAGTGCCTGAAGAACTATGGACGGAGGTTCGCAACATTGTACAAGAGGTAGCAACTAAAACAATCCCAAAGAAAAAATGCAAGAAAGCAAATTGGCTGTCTGAGGAAGCTTTACAAATAGATGAGGAAAGAAGGGAAGTGAAAGGCAAGGGAAAAAGAGATACACCCAATTGAATGCAGAATTCCAGAGACTAGCTAGAAGAGATAAGAATGCCTTCTTAAATGAACAGTGCAAAGAAATAGAAGAAAACAATAGAAAAGGGAAGACCAGAGATCGCTTCAAGAAAATTGGAGATATGAAGGGAACATTTCATGCAAAGATGGGCATGATAAAGGACCAAAATGGCAGGGACATAACAGAGGCAGAAGAGATTAAGAAGAGATGGCAAGATTACAGAGAAGAACTATACAAGAAAGAGCTTAACGTCCCTGATAACCATGATGGGGTGGTCACTGACCTCGAGGTGGACATCCTGGAATGTGAAGTCAAATGGGCCTTAGGAAGTCTGAGCAACAACAAAGCTAGTGGAGGTGACAGTAGTCTAGCTGAGCTATTCAAAATCCTAAAAGACGATGCAGTAAAAGTGCTACACTCAATATGCCAGCAAATTTGGAAAATTCATCAGTGGCCACAGGATTGGAAAAGGTCAGTGTACATTCCGATCCCAAAGATGGGCAATGCCAAAGAATGTTCAGACTACCGCACCATTGCACTCATTTCACATGCTAGCAAAGTTATGCTCAAAATCCTACAAGCTAGGCTCCAGCAGTTTGTAGACTGAGAACTACCAGAAGTACAGGCAGGATTTCGAAGAGGGAGAGGAACTAGAGATCAAATTGCCAACATACGCTGGATCATGGAGAAAGCTAGGGAGTTCCAGAAAAACATCTGCTTGTTTGACTATGCTAAAACCTTTGTGTGGATCACAGCCAATTGTGGCAAGTTCTTAAAGAAATGGGAGTACCTGACCATCTTATTTGTCTCTTGAGAAATCTATATGCGGGTCAAGAAGCAACAGTGAGAACCGGACACAGAACCACTGATTGGTTCAAAATTGAGAAAGGAGTTTGGCAAGGCTGTATACTGTCGCCCTGCCTATTTAACCTATATGCAGAGCACATCATGAGAAAGGCGGGGCTAGATGAATCACCAGTTGGAATTAAGATTGCTGGGAGAAATATCAACAACCTCAGATATGCAGATGATACCACTCTCGTGGCAGAAAGTGAAGAGGAACTAAAGAGCCTCTTGCTGCGGGTGAAGGAGGAGAGCGCAAAAGTTGGCTTAAAACTCAGCTTAAGATCATGGCATCCGGTCCTCTCACTTCCTGGCAAATAGATGGGGAAGAAATGGAGGTAGTGAGAGATTTTATTTTCCTGGGCTCCAAGATCACTGCAGATGGTGACTGCAGCCAAGAAATTAAAAGACACTTGCTCCTGGGGAGAAAAGCTATGGCAAATCGGGACAGCATACTAAAAAGCAGGGACGCCACCCTGTCAACAAAAGTGTGTATAGTCAAGGCTATGGTTTTCCCAGTTGCACTGTATCATTGTGAAAGCTGGACCATAAAGAAGGCTGAGCGCCAAAGAATTGAGGCCGCTGAATTGTGGTGCTGAAGGAGACTCCTGCGAGTCCCTTGGAAAGCAAAACGATCAAACCGGTCAGTCCTAGAGGAGATCAACCCTGACTGCTCTCTAGAAGGCCAGATACTGAAGATGAAACTCAAATACTTTGGCCACCTAATAAGAAGGACTCCCTGGAGAAGAGCCTAATGCTGGGAACAATAGATGGCAAAAAAAGAAGGGGACCTCAGAGGATGAGGTGGCTGGATGGAGTCACTGAAGCAGTCGGTGTGAGCTTAAGTGGACTTGGGGAGTTGGTGGACAGGAAGGCCTGGAGGAATGTTGTCCATGGGGTCGCGATGGGTCGGACATGACTTCGCGACTAACAACAACACTTTAAGGTCTGCAGATAAACTGAAAAAGAGCAGGGAATTCTACATGAGGTGGCAAATGTCAGTTTAAAAAAAAAAAAAGTGCTTTGATCCATTGCAGCACTGTTGGTGGAATAAGCACTGTCATGATTTGCTGGAAAGCCAGTATAATAGCACTAACTGGGCTTCCTGGGGAAGGGAGATGAACCATTCTTGTACTGGGACACCGTATGTACAGGGATGTTCTATGGCGCACATTCACAATAGAAGGACCTAGCTAAAGATGTCTTCCGCTCAGCTTTGCACCCTCCAGTTTTAGCAACCACTTAAGAGGGCACAGTTCTGATTTGATGTAATTCAAACTGGGTTAGTGACTCTTAATTGTTTGCAATTTTTAAGCTGTCCTAATTCAGTCTAGCTGCTAGCAGAAGAGGAGCAGCACTGCCACAGTAAAAGTGGTCTGGAGAGTGACAGAACATGGGCAAGGAATGGGCAGTGCTTTGGGAAAAGAACAAATGGATAGCAAGACTTTCCTCCTCGAATCCTCAACTCCTGAACACATACTTTGAATCCATGGATTTTGTTGCACTGTTGACTATAAAACTGAAATAGCAGTGGGTGCAGAAAATTATATAAAGAACATGACTCAGTCTGAGAAAATAGGCTGGAAATTCAGGCTTAAGGTTGTTGAGGCCAGCATGTTTTTGATGCATTATGCAGGGGAAGGAAACAAAGACATCAAAACATGAGTCAAAAATGCCCTGGCCTAGAGCATCTTATTTCCTGGATTGTTAGACTCAGAAGGAGCCTGATTTCAGTTAATGATGTTTCTGACATTTTCTGCTTCACTGAATGTTTGGAGGAGCAAGCCTATTTTATGTAAGGATCAAAATGCTGATGCTTTCTGTGTTTTCTTAAAAGACAAGGGTTTTTTCTCCCAGAAATAGTCCATTCAGCCTGTCACCAAATGGTCTAAAAGGATAACTCTTCGCCCTGTATGGCAAACTGAGACAATGACCAGGTTCTGACAACATGAGAACCCACATTCAAGGCTTGGGTGTGGGTTGTTGAACCATGGGTGGCTGAAACGTACTCTGAGCTCAGCCAAGATAGTAAGCCATAGTAAAGAATCCACAGTTCACAGTTCAGCAATAAACCATGAGATTTCTTCATGTGGTTAACGAGGCTTGTTAGTGCAACTAACTGTATGGACATGGTTTCTTCAGCATGAAAGCTCAGGGCATAATCCTGCTCTGAGACACAATTCTACACTGCCTAGGGAATGCTGGGAGTTGTAGGTCCTTTTTCTGTCTAAACATC